ACTGTATAGCCTTACCCTCCACTTTTCGAATTAGCTGTAACTGCTTCTCTCAGCGATATTTCTTGAGAAGAAATCTCATCTATGAAAAGTAACTTTTCTTTACAAATTACGAACTGATTACGTTATTACGTGATTACGAACTGATCTGTTAATGGTATCTTTTATTTGGATATGGTCGACGCCTTACCGACGACCCCTCTCTTCCTTCGTTACTTCGACCTGACTAATCGATCCCCACCTCACGGGATCAAAAGGACAAAAACACCATCCAGTGACAAAGTGGGCGATTTCCACCAAACCGTTGCAGGGAAAAGAGGTACGACCTTGTCCTACCTCCGACTACCCACTATAGGGCTTACCTGATATATAATCTAATAAAGATATGTCTAAAATTGAATAAATATGTCATTAACTGTGGAATTTTCATTAGGACGTAACAAAATGAAAACAAACGTTACGATAAAATGGCTCTCATTCGATTGATAAACTGGGAAGCTATTTCAAGACAATATAAAGGATTGTATAACTTATTTCTTTAATTATGTAGTGTGTTTAATTATTATTTTTAAAGATATTCTTCGATAGTTTAGCCGCTATACTGACGGAGCCAGGCTCGTGTAGGACATTGTATTGCTATAAAAAAGTTCTTTACGGGCACATTACGAAATCAAAAATAATTACAAACTACACCCGAAATCAAGCCATTTATTATAGAATCTCTGCAATTAACCATTATACCGAATGTACAGTTTATTAGATATTGCTTTTCTATAACGTAAGGAAATTAATTTATAGTAATAGACTAATTCGTAATAAGGATCGATAAAACGGGAATAAATAAATATGTACCGGATATTAAAAACTTCTAATATTTTTTATTATTATAAATTAGCTTCATCTTCAGGAGAAAACGTAAGAATGTGAGCAACAATACATTTTTTCTATTCTTTTCGCTTTCTTTGTTGTGAGAATGGGTGATTTTTGAAGAATCAGGAATACAATTTCGAGATTTTTGTTTTATTTCTTAAGGATATTTTGCTTCAGATGTACACGTAAGTGATATTTTGACAAACTACACAATATGCTGTACTGAACAAAAATATTTTCATAAAAAAATAGAATTACCCATCTTTGTCATTAGTCAATTATCAGGTTCTGGAGCTTAATTAAGAGCACAAAATGAAAAGGTAAGATTGCAGATGTGAATTGCAACCTTAAAAAAGCTGTAGAGTATGCCCATAACAGCAAAAAATCAAAAGAACCACACCTCTAAATTTGGCCATTCGCGAGATATAGCCCCCCGAAATCAGCCTACTTCCAGGCTGATTTCGGGGGCTATATTATCCAAGTTAATTTCGAGATAAATTACCATATCTTGAACTGATTTGGAGTAGAATATATTTTATAGTGAAACGAAAATGTCCAAAATTAATAATAATTAACATAAGTTAAATCTTTGTCAAGAATGTGATAGAAGCACTGATAAAATGCGCAAGGAACAATTTTATCTTTCTGATAACGAGGATTGGGATGATTCTTCACTTGTGAAATTACCAATAAACATTTTATTGCTAAATTTCTCTCTTATTTTCCGAGGATTGTTTTGGATGCTGCGATTGTAATTCGCAATACGACGACGGAGACGATGATTCCTTTAGTTGTGATGAAGACGAGAACCAATTTGTATTGTGTGAAAGCTGATAACCAGTTAAAGCTGATCAAAATATTTTATTTTTTCACATACAGAAAAAAAATTCTTATTTATTGGTTCTTAATATTCATATATAATATCTTAATTACCTTATTATAGAATTATAATATTAACTTTATTAAAAATTTTGATACACAGTTTAAAATTTTTACATTATATATCAATATTATACATTTTATTATATAACATTAATAGTGCCATCCTAATCAATCATTATTATACGATATAATATCACTATATAACAAAAAAATAAACTTATTTGAATCATTTTGACATTTGCTTCTTATTTATTATTATTTTTTTTCTCTCTTTTTGCTTTGTGAACACTAAGAAAGCTTATCATGTGTTGCTTTAGGACCTACACGTGTAGTTAATATCCCTAAAATTATTTCTATTCTACAATTTATACAGAAAGCTTATAAAATATTTTATTCAATTAAAAAAAATTTAAATATAATTTGATAATAAATATACATTTCCTTGATTAAAAACAATCAATTTTTCTTGTTTCCGAGTAGCTTACACTGTACTTCGAAACGCTATACAATTATTGTTTATCGTTTTCTTCATAATTTCCAATAGAAAATTTGGAATTTAATTGTTTTTATTCTATTTTAAATACAGTACATAAATTTTTATACAGAATAATAAGACATTATCTTTTATAATACTTTATTAATGACCCATTACCAGAAGAGATTTTTCTACCGGAAACGGCATACTTTTACAATATAACTAATTGAAAAAATTAACAAAAAAATATTAACTTCAGTTTTACAGTATATTTTATGTTATGCACATAAATTTTATAATAAAATAAATTTTTTTAAAAATATTTACAGTATTTTTTATTATTATTTAAAACTTTATCCTTCCAATAAAACCGTCATATACAACGTATATATGATCTGTGTATATATATAATTTTTCTTTCGGTCCGTAATTAATTCAGGAATATTCTGATTATATTTTCCTTATCTCGACTGAATAAAAGCTTGATTAAATCCAATATATTGTTTTTAATTAATTCAGTTCGGCTCGTTAACGTTGTGTTTATCGCTCTCCGTATCTTTAGGAAATTTAGATTCCGATTGGTCGGTCTGGGTGGACGATGTTAACATCGGAAATGACGTCAATCGTATCGATTCTAGAGCTGTTCTTAAACCATTTGTTGTTGTTAGATCCAATTTCAAAGGTTCTTCTTGCAAAATAGTGTTCCATTCTGAACGTATATTGTGTTCTACTAGATCTGCTCCAGCTTTTTCATCCTCTATTGTCATTCTTATTGGTATTGCTTTGTTAATACACTAAAAATATAATAAAACTGTTGGAAATTTTGAATATAAAAATGTAATAATGTATTAATTTTGTAATAAAATGTAATAATGATTTATAGGAAAAATTGAAATATAGTCTATAATACTCTTATAAGCGTTTTGTTTCTAATTAATCCTACGTAAAGATTGGTAAATAAGTTATTTATTTAATTCTAAGAAATGAATTAATTCGGTGTTTCTCAAACTGACTACCTGTTGGCACAGGTGATCCGCAAGCAGATTTAAATTAAAAGTAAATAGTATCATATTATTTATTTGTTTAATAAAGATATAAAATTTGTTCAGTTTACGAGATGATTTTTAATAGTTTACTTTCAGTTTAATTAATTATGTTTTTGTATGTATTCAAAACATGTTTTTGGATTTATAATGTTATAAAAGGCACAGTATGTTTGTTGTTAATTCTCACATAGGTTTTAAAACATGACACAACTTAGTGGTCCGTAGAATATTTTCAAGCATTTCACTGGTCCTTAGGCTTAAAATGGTCGAATTTACTGAATTTATTGATTGATTTTTTAAAATTTATTTCTAAGCTTCCATTCTGCATGTGTATAAAACTAGAAAATAAAAATTTTATTACAAAAAAATAAGTTTTTTGTTATGACTGGCGATAAATTGCTCAATACCCCAAATTTATTTTCAATAATTTTGCTTTTATATATACAGTATATATGTATAAATAAATCGAAATAATTCCATTTTGTGTAATTTTTGACGTCACTAAATAATGGTTTTAATATACATTTATATCTGTGAAATATACGGATATAAAAGATATCGTAGTTATAAAAAACTTCAAATAAATAAAATTAAAAAAACGTGACTTACGTAAAGCAATAAAAATGTGGAGCTCATACTCCATGCAGTGACAGATACAACGGCCAAAGTTTGGATTCCTAACAGATGCCATCCTCCTCCTCTGAACAGACCTTGATAATTTTTAGTGAGATTCAACATTCCGTCCGCTTCGACGAAAAAACCCACGGAAATCATACCCCATACGGAACCGACGGCATGTACAGAAATGGCACCAACTGGATCGTCGATGTGTAATTTATCTAAGAGAGGCATCGTCAGACTCGCAAGGATAGAACCTATCGTTCCTATGACTATAGATTCCCAAGGATGATACAGAGCGCAACCGGCTAAATGGATATATTTTTGTCTAAATTAAAAGATAAATAAAAATCAAATAATTAAAACGAATTAAATATTTACAAACCTGTAATCGATACCAGAGAAGCTAAAATTCCATTTATTAAATCCAGAACGAGGAACTTTCTCTTGTGAGCAATGTAACTGTTTTTATAAAAATTACACATTTCTTTTAAATTAAATGTCTTTTTTAACATTTAAATTATTTTATACATTATTTTACGACTATAATAATACGCTCAGTGTAGTGTAGAAATATAATATTTTTCTTAATATTAGAGAAAAAAACTTCTAAGCGAACCTGAAGATTAATGCTGCGATTCCACCTCCCACTGATGAATTAATTGTGACCACTGCTGATCTGTAAGATAAATTTGTTTATTTATAATACGTCATTAATTTTTTTATAAACACAATGTATGAAAGCAATCCCTTCCAAAGAAAGAAATTATGATCCAGTGGAAAATTTATAAATATAGTACAACTAATTCTGTTTTATCCTGAAGAATATGTATAAAAAAATTGAATTGATACATATAATAGGGACATTCCCAGAAATTTTCTTTCTAATTGGAACTAAAAACAACAACATGAAGGTTAAATGCAAAGAAAGCGTTTCATACACTGGGAATATTTCTTAACGCATTCTTAAGTACAGTGGCGGATTTCAATTTTAAGACCCCCTGTAAATATTTTCACTACCCCTACACCCTACAGTGTGCATTCTACGTGCACGTTTTTTACTCTGATAGGCACTATACAGATGGTCTAAAAAGAGTGAGACATGGCGAAATAACATTGAAAATTAACCAATATAAAATTATAATTGCCTGGCTGTATTTAAAAGGTTACTGATGTTCAGATTGTATTCATTATGAAAATTGAAACTTATTGGTACAAGAATTACAGTATTCAGTTTCAATAGGTAAAAGTGTTAAAAACAAAAAAAAAATCTATTAATCCATGGATATAAAAAATAATTTATTTTTAAATTTACTACTGATTTGTATTTCAAAAATCTATCAATAGTAATCTACTAATAATAAAAATTTATTTCTAAATTATTATAATAGATTTCACTATTGTTTGGTAAATAATGGAACATTTTGAACATTTGTTATAATTAAGTCCATTCAAGGTATTCGATTTTATCTTTTGGGTTTTTTAGAAATGCGCTGATTGATAAAGTGAATAAAGAAATCCGATTTTTGTTTCTGTAAATTGTTATTATGTCTTAAATATTGTTATTAATTTTTGTTAAAAATAAAATTATTTAAGAATATTTACACCCTTTTTATACCTACTTTATGAAATACAAATCAGTATTCAAATTTAAAAATAAATTATTTTTATTTTCATAGATTTTGGTTTTTAACTCTTTTACCTAATGAAACTTAGTAATTCTTGTACCAATAAGTTTCAATTTTCATAATTAATACGCTAAGTTTGTTTGTTTATTTATGGCAACGCAACACTTGGGTAATCTGCCTAGGGGATGCCTTCCGGGAGGTCTTTTTAAGGGAACCTGACCCTATTTCCCTATTTAGGCGTTACAGACGTGGAGAAAACGCGGAAAACCGAACTCCCAGTTTTCATGGAACGAAGACCGCTTGGCCACTGGTGAGCCCATAATTAATACACCCTGAACATCAGCTAACCTTTAAATATAGCTAGGCAGTTTTAATTTTATATTGGTTAAAAACAAACTATATCGGAACTTTTCTCGCTTTAGCAAATTTATCAGACTTCATAATCTAATAACATAACTACTGTATGTCGTTTTCTATAAACATCATAGGCAAGTGAATTAAATGGAGTTGAGACAAGAAATTTCTTAAATAATTTTTAACTCTTTTAAGAAGAAAATAATAATAATTAAATAAAATAATATTTTTAATTTTGAAAGTTGAATTTTAAGGTCCCTTTAATTTATGAGGCCCCATTTGTGCGCTTGTTCGGAAATTCGCCACTGCTTAAGTAGCATTAGTTTCAGCTTTTACAAGTGTATTACATCAATTTTTGCATTATTCAAAGCATTTTCTTTACATTTAAAAACGATGTGACGTCAATTTGACGTTATACAAAATAAATATTTTCATTATAAAAGAAATGACATAAGAATGGTAAAGATGTATGACGTAAAATCAATTTTTTTTTACTCAAACTCTTTCAAAAGATAAATTTATTTTAAAAAAATGTATCTAAATCAAATAAATACGTTTGATTTTAGTGACAATTACGATGATTAATTTTACAAAGAATAATTTACCTGGCAGCATATTTCCATTTATGTCCCGTAACACCAAAAGTACTTCCGCAATTAAAACCGAGCCATCCCCACCTACGAACGAAAAAAATTGTTAAATTTTAAATTAAATTAATTGTATAAAAAAAAAACCAAACAATTTTTTGAAGTTTAAAGTATTACAGACTTATTAAAATTAAGTTATATCAGACCATCTGATACAAATTAATGTGATAAATATATTTTAAAAATAAGTATATTTTTATATCGTTTATATAAAACTGTTTTATTCGTTTAGTACGTTATATGGCTTTAAAAGTTTATATCATTTTGTTGAAATTTTCTTGTTAGAGATGGGATAAACACGCCGCACTCACTTTTAAGGTTTTTGACAGAATTTTATAAAGAAGTTTTCTTATTCTTCTATATTTTCAATGATAACAACAAGGGGGAAAAAACAAACATTTTTGAGTTATATGCGGGATTTTCTATTCTATACAAACAGATTAAAACCGTATTTTTAGATATAAAAAATGGAATTTTTAGAAAAGCATAAAAACTCATATTTCATTCACGTTATAAAGCGGAATTAAGTCAACAATATAATTACTATACAAACAGAATAAAAATTATAATCAGATAATATATATGGCTTATATCATGTTACTATGTACATATTAACGTAGTCAACAACACATTTATAATCATTTGTAGTATAATAAATGCATTCTTCGCCATCTTCTTACTTAATTATATGTAAAATGCACTTTAAATCGATGACGTTAAAAAAATCTGTTATGTAAAATATTTTAATTAAGTTTATTCGATCATCGCTATTTTAAATATCTTTATAATTAGTGTACAAATTTTCAGTAACATGAGCTAATTAATAAGTGATTTGATGTTTTAACAAACATAAAATAACGAGCTCATAATACGAGTAAAATTAAATATTTTCGTTATTATCTCGAAATTTTGAATTTAGTAAATAAGTGAATTAAAAGATAATATTTTAGATAAATGATTTACATTTTGGCAAAGTGATAGAAAAGATAATTCATTAAATATACTTTATCTAATTTAACAAAGTATGATCATTATTTTCATTCTTCCTTTACCAGCAAAGATACAATTTTTGTAAAATATTGAAATTAAAATGCTTAAAACATTTAAATGTAATAATAATAAACGACTGATAACATTAAGCGGAGTTATAAGTAAGACTACAATTAATAGAAACGTTGGTTATGATCATTAAAAAATGAGATTCATTCGGTGCTGTTTTTCACAGCATCCTCTTTAACAACAGCTATTTGAAGTATAAAATGTCAGCAATTTAAACGATTCAAACGTTTAACATTTAGTCATTCCAATCGCAGCACTAATTAAAGGCTGATTATAAGAAAAGGCAATTTAAAAATAAGTAAAATATCTGAAAATAATGATAAATATAACTGAAACTACGATTACAATAAACAATACGTTTTAAAAATATATTTGAACTTGTTTTAGTCCATGTTAATTCTGATAACAATAGATGACTGATAACAATAACCATAATTCAAATAGTTAAGTTATATTGTATATAAAAATAAATAAATCAATTTGCGATATGCAAATATTGAAAAATGTGAGAAAATATTTACTTTCGCATCGTGTTCCGTCTCTCTATTATATATATTGTAAGTTTCTTAACGTAATTTTTACATGATCAATTCCTCTGTTATATATTACAGTTTTATATAACAATTATATAAAACTATTGCTATATATAAATAATAAAGTGATTAATAAATATCTATCCGTAACACTTACCAAAGCATAAACATTCCCACCAGAGCGTTAGTAGGCGAACCCATTGGTGGTGGTTCGTTACCTTGATCGTAACGTCCTGTTCTAGGTTTCAGCATGATTGATGCTACCAAAGCGGAAGAACCTCCTACCAGATGAACAGCCGCACATCCGGCAATGTCCACCACATACATATTTTTGAGAAATCCATGATTTCCCCAGATCCAACCCGCCGGCAGACAGAATATCACCGTGTTGAAGAAGGAGAAAAGACAGTAGGCCATAAAGTTACACCTCTCGGCCATGGCACCAGAGACGATAGTCGTGGCGGTAGTGGCAAACGATAACTGGAATATGTAAGTCGCGAACACTTCTCCCATATTCTTCTCGTCCGAATCGAGCAGAAATGATCCTATACCGCAGAAACTGTTAGTGCCAGGACCTTTACCGTAACTCAATCCGTAACCGAACATCCAATAACTGAGACCTCCAAATATTACGTCGATAGCATTTTTGACCATTATGTTAACTTCGTTTTTCTTTGTCACGCATCCAGATTCCAACAACCCGAAGCCTGCAAATAAAAGAATAATAATAAAAAAAAATAATTTTAAAGTAAAAATAAGTACGTGAACAAAACATGTAAATCATACCAAGATTTTATTATTCAATAACGAATTAATTGTACAGTTTCCGACGCGGGTGGTAAATAGAAAAGTTAAGTCATATCTTTCTTTAACGAGTAGATAATAAGTCACGATTAACATTATTAACCGTATTCTACTTAATGCTTACATCTACTTCGATCGAGGTAACATTCTTGATAAAATAATCTTAGAATTACTAATGCACGACCGTGATTAATAGGTCAGATTTACCAATCGGTACCTATTATGTTATGAGATTTATTCGAGTATGACGTCTTCTATTCTACTTAGTCTATCTTCGAAGTTAAATTATTACGTTTAAAAGAAAGTTAAAACGTCAATATTAAAATTTGAACAAAGAAAATATTTTTAGAAATTGTTTAATTAATGTTAAAATCTTGTAAATATGACATTACTCTAACTAAAAATTTTATGTACTAAATTTAATACTGTAAATTTACAGTAATATAAAAGTAAATACTAGAAAAATAAAACATCAAGAATAGTTAATATAGGGGCCTAATATATTTTAATACATATATTAAGATGTATAAATTAATAATCATCACAATACACTACTCCTTGTAGATATTTATATATTTAAAATGCATAAATCTATAACAGATTCACAGCATGTATGCCTAAAACGAAGGTGTTATATGCAGTATTATGTTACATATACTTCTCTATTATAAGTTATACAATATAGTAATATATTTATATAAAGAGTCAACAGTCAACTTACATATTAGGCCTATATCAATACATGCTAGCTTTAAACTCACGATTTTCACTCATAAAAAAATAGAAAAAAATTATTATTAAGAAAATTATTTAAAATTTGATTTAATCCATATTAATAAAATATCGCTTGAAATTTATAAAAAGAAAATAATAAATTAATCTTCTGTAGAATATTACAAAAGAAAAAAAAATAATATGTTTACGAAATACAAAATTAATNGAAGTGCCACCAGTTTATTTCTACTTGGAATTGTGTGCAATTACAAGTGTTATTCTGGTAGGAAATACTTTATATAAATTCAATTTAATTACACTTCCTTGTGTTAACGTGCCTTTTAGTCTGCTTTTTCACGTCTTCCAGTATGAATCGTTATGACTACAAAGAAATTATTAAGTTCTATGTGTATTCTATAGTAATATTATATGACAAAATTTAGTGAATCAAAACGAAATATTTTTTGAAATATAGAGATTTTAAATATATATTTTAAATAATTATCAAATTTAATATTTTTATTACCAGTTTTAACAATAATAATACTGCAATTGAATATCAAAAATTTGTGATGTAACATCCCTTTAACACGTTGCACTATAAACTACATATTAACCACTTGCCGCACGAGTGTTTTTAAAGGAATTTTAAATTAAACATAAAAAATACTTAAAACTGAAAAAAACGAAAGAAATGCGTTAATTTTGAAAGAAAAGCTTCAAATTTAATTTTCCTATGTCTCGCCTTTTTTTGAAATTTGACACTGATGAGTCATTGTTTAGACAGCTGGATGACGTTGAGAACAGCTAAAGTGGGATTTCCCGAGACATTCTCATAGAAGTCTCGGGAGGCGATGGGTTTAGAGTAGGGTGGATAGTAGTTGGCTGTATATATTTAAATATTTTACAGTGTTAAGCAGCACATTTCGCTCGATGATAGGTCAAATATGTAAATATTTACGAGATGGGTTTAAATCATATTCCACTTCTCTATAGGATTTTCTGATAGAAAGCTTATGTAAACAGCAGCATCCAGTCGCGTTAGCGCCTCCAAAAAGATAATATTTTATAGTAGAAAAACATTTTTTCTTATATAACTTATATATTCTAGAGACGTTTAAATTCGTAAAAGCTGTAAAATTTATTTTTAAAAAATACACGAAGAAGCGCTGATTCCAAATATCTTTTTGTAGGCTATCACGTTTGATAATAAAGTAGGCGACTTTTTTTTATTTATTTAGTTAACTACGTAAAAAAATATAGTTTAATACCTGATTGCATGGTAAATATAATAAACGAACTAGTCATAATCCATGTAGCATCTTCCCAAGAGACGTCCGATTTCTCTTCCACATTACTGTCGATGACGTGTTGGGGACTTAAAGGGGTAGAGTAACTTTTTGTGATGTTTGACACTTCTTCGCTCGTCATTTCGTGGCATATGTTTCGCTCTTCCTTCTGACATAAGAAGGAGAAGCAGAAATTACCCGGATGAAGAACGATCAACCCATCTGGTGACACCTATCTCCGACCAGTGATGCGGTTCGAGTGTTGTTTGATGTATAGAACACGGAGAATCGAAGTACTTCGAACACAGCGCCGTTTTACAACGATTGCAACCGAAGATGTTTATTTATCTTCAATTCTTTTATGCTAAAATTAGTGTGTGAGTGCATAACTCATATTATATTTTACTACACCCTCTTGAAAGTAAGAAGGAGATTCTAATATGTAACGATAAATTAAGTAAACATAATTTTGCTTGTGTTAAAATATTAAAAGCAAATGATGAAATAAAAATAAATTAAATTTGAATCGATTTTTTTATTTCGGTTCGTATAAGTGAAAATGAAAAAAACTCACGTGATGTAGACACAAGTCACGTGATCGCCTTTACTTTCCCTTTCGGAATGGTTGGAGGGTAAAAAAAGAAAGTGACAGTTATTTGTGAATAAAATGTAAATAAGATTTAGATTCAGCAATATCTTTTGTTCCTTTCTCATAAAGATTGATAAAGATAAAACTTTTTTTTTTTTAAATCTTACGCTCTTCTTCGACAGCTTCGTAGAATTTAATAACCAATTTCCTTAATACCGAAGAGAAAATAAAATAATGCCAATTCTTATAAGAAAGTTTTTTGCATTAAATTTCTATTTTAATTATTATTAAAATAGGAATTTAAAACTTTATTAACCTTCGTCAAAAAAAAGAATCTACAATTTAGAAGAAATAAGCATCAAATTCAAGTTAGAAACGAATGAAAATTAAAAAAAAAAAAAACATTATAAATTAAAATATTAATTAACTCATAAAAATTCTAGATAAGTAAATTTTGACTCGTATTTTTAATTTAATTTTATTTACTATGAGAAAGAACTCTTTAATACAAAAGTAACGACAGTTATTATAATTATTAATTTGATTAACGAGTTTTAAATCATTCTATATATATATATAGGCCTATATACAGCTTCATATTTTTGATTTTATTTTAACATTTTAAAAATAATATACATGAAATTTTTAATAAATATAACTTTAATTTTTAAACAAAAAGTTAAAGATCGACAAGAATCATTGTCGAAATAGGTTGATTGATAAATTATGACAAGAAAAAGAATAATAATTCATCATTTTTTACAAGAATTATAATTCGTCAGAAAATCGTTTAAGGGTGAAAATCGTTATACTTTGTTACTGTCAGCATTAGCATTAGATTTATGTTATTTGGATCTCGTATTTCAATTCTCGAATATCGAAGAGATTTCAATGCTTTATCATTTCGAAATTTCTTTTTAAATTTTGTTGTTATTTTATTTTATAAATATATATAATAATATAGTATTGTATTATTAAGTAATTTTCTTTGTAATTTTAATAATAATATATTATTATTCATGTTATGAGTACTGTATGTTACGCATTAGTTCTTTGAAATTTCTACACAAAAGTTAAGTTTTTTTACTTTCTTTCGAGTTTATAACTTGAAAAATTTTTATAAAAAATATATATATATATTTGTATAATAAATCCATTAAGATATTTTAGAAGTTTGAAATTTTATATTTAAATAGTAAAAATATTTTAAAAAATTATATTTTTTCATTGATTAAAGTAATTAAAACATGACAAAAATATTTTAATTAAAATTACAAAAACAAATTTAATCTTATTAAATATTATAAAATCATTTTAATTCTTCAATTTTCAGTTAATAGATTTTAATTCAGTTAAAAAGCAACGAAACAATTAAAACTGAAATAAAATAATTAAAGTAATTAATTAATGATCCTAAAACTTAAATTTATTTTAAATTTTCTACCAAAGTTTAAGAGTTAAGATATAGGATGTGGGTTTGAAGAACGAAGGTCATGGAGGCGGAGTTACCTCCTGTATAATAAAATGGTAACATGTTTTCTTTATGTCGTTGCAGCTTATAATTTTCCTTGAATAAACGAAAAGAGTTTAAATTTGTGTCGTTTCTATTCAATTTTTAATGACAAAACATTTCCTCTTTCTACATAATTAATAACTATAATTTCTAAGTTTCGATTGGATAATTTGAATATATTTCGTAACCTTTCATTGGACGTTTATCAACGTCACTACTTCAACATAATTGAAACATTTTTACTTATCACGTGTTTTTATTAATTAATTTTGAATTAAATTATTATTTATTAATTAACGCGTTTAATTAATTAACTATCGTTGGAATTGTCAACTATTAATTATTTTTATTTATACAAATAAATAAAAAATTCGTTAATGTTAATTAATCAAATAAGAAGACCCAAAAAAAAAATTATTTAAATAATTTTAATTGTTTATTTATTCGTTAAAACTTTTATCTTATATAAGTCATTAATTATTTTAAAATAAAACCGAACGTCGAATTTCCAATTTTGAAGATCCAATTTTAATAGAGTTTAATCTTTGTCACGAAAGATTAGTTGCTAGTTTATAACCTGATCGATCTGCAACTGACTCTACCATATATTATAACATTCTTCTCTTATATAAATTATATATTTTTATATATAACAGCGTGAAGTATACTTTCGCTATTAGTGAAATTAATTCGAAACTGGCAACGATTGAATTGTAATCAATCAGTTTAATTAGTAAATTAATTTTTAATTTCTTAACACATATATAAGAAAAATATTATTTTCATGGAAAATTCCATATTAAAGTTTTTTTTAATATAAATTTTATCCAGAATCAAAATACAGTATGAACTGTATACAGTAGACTCCCCTATAACACTATTGATAATTCCGTGTTATATGAATTCCATGTTGTACGAGTCACTTAGATTTTAGAAATACGTGAGCCGTTCACAGCCCGGCACACGTATTTCTAAAATCTAAGTGACTCGTACAACATGGAATTCATATAACACGGAATTATCTACAGTGTTATAGGTAGGGTCTACTGTATTCTTAAATAGTAATTATCTTGGATAATTTTCTTCTAATGATACGTTATANAACGAAAATGAAAATTTGCTTGATAATTCAACTACGCTTGTTGGAGAACAATAAAAACACTACACTCAACAAGCCACCAATAAAACTCAACTGCCTAACCTATAACCAAAATCTCCTTTTAATTTGTTTTTTAAAAAAAGCGCTTGACAAACTTGCCCCGCATGCCGAAGTTGCCCCGATCTCCCCTAATAAAATTTAATACATTCGAGTGGCAAAATTTACCTATTTTCGAAGCTGATTAACACCGGAAGCGGAAGTTATTAATGTTTTTGTATACCTGTTCGCGTCGCGCAGTTGCATTCTTTTTAACTGTGGTGAGAGTCACCGATGTAAACAACTGATTTTAAAAAATGAATATTGATTCATGTCTACACAAAAGTTATTTTCCTTCAAATTTATTTCATTAAACTAATTTATTAATAAATGAGGACATTAATTAATGATTATTTATGCCAAATTTAAAATTTATGTTATCACTTCTTAAGAATGTGCCGCATTTCGTTATTATTTAATCCAACATAAAATTATAATTTTATTCGTTATTGCTGATAGTACTAATTTTTAACGACTTGGGATGGATTTTATTATCGTTTCTTATCACGTGACTAGTGTTTCTACGACGAAGAGAACCTTCGGATTTTTCTTTTAAAACTCTCAAAACATTAATGTTACCGTCGTGTTGTAAATTATGGTCGACGTAGTCTGGTCCCATTATCTCTTCTTCGATAGTCATTCGTAGGCCAATAGTGACGTTAATTAGCTACAAATAATCACAAAAAATTAATTAAAATCGTTCAAATATCGTAATTTTCTACAGATAAGATTTAATTGCTAATAAATTTACAAGAAACTTCCGTCCATTTTTATCAAATCGACCAAATTTAGTCCGATATGTTAATTAGTGTTTTGTGTCTTCCATGTTATAACTCGAAACCTGTTACACAATTGAAAAATACATTCATAAATTATATGAATTTTTTTTCTTTAGATTCTGAATCTCCTAAATATCTCAGAAAGATTTTTTAATCCTATCAAAAAGAAACGAAAATGTAAAAACAAGATTAAAGAAGAACTATGTAAGCTGTAACGACAACCAGACTTGTTACGGAGATGGTGGAAAACTGACTTGACGTGAAAGAGGAATTGGATTTTGGAAAAGAAAGACTATAGTTAGATCTGAATGAAAGAAAACTCTTTAACAAGGCAGGGCCTTCTACATCCTGCAGAACACCAGTTCTTAAACTTTATTAGTTCCATTTTGCCGGATTCCTAATCATTAACTTTATACGAGTACTCATACGGCAGGAATTTGATTAAATTGATTGCGCTTACATAAATGAGAAATGCTATCAGTTGACTGTTATGAAAGCTTATTTGGAATTGTATGGTATTTTTATTATGATTTTTTGTAATGAAATTAAATAATAAATCACATTTAAGTTTAAAAAATTATTTGCGGATCCCTGACTATTAATTCTCAGACGCCAAGTGCAGTTTAAGAATTGCAGATATAGAACTAAAGAGTAATAATAATAGTAGTAGATTCGAGAGAAAAACTTAATATAATTAGTGAATAATTTTTATCAAAAATATTCTCATATTTTGAAAACACTATAATATATATATAAACAATTTTTGCATGTATTATATATATACACCACGCATTTCGTCCAAACTTAAGATGGGACTATGACATAAAGAAACAAGAAGGCACAACATGGTGGAGAGAAGCAAATGATAGGCAAATATGGGCACAAATGGAGGACGATTATGTAAGGGAGGCTACACCATAATTTGAAATGGTAGAATAAGCTGAAGCTGATGATGATGACGATGATACCACGTATATATTGGATATAAATTTATACATCTATCTTAACATAATTATTTAGTTTTCAGTCAGTTGTAGTTAAGAAAATCTTATGAAATTTTTATTTAATTTTAATCTTTACTTTTTGTTTTTAGAACATTAATAATTAATTTTTTAGTTAATACGAGTAATTCGTAATTAAATGAAATCAACATTATACGTCAAAAGTGAAATAATATTTGAGAATGAAAACATAATTAAAACAAAACATAAACGTAACAAACGTAAGATAAAAGTTAAACTTACTAAGAGAAAAATAGTTGATACCAATAAACTCCAACATATGAGACATCCAGAAGCTAAAATCTGAATAATTAGCAATTTGCAACCGCCTCCGACGAAAAGACCAGATAAATTTCTTGTATAGTTTCTAATGGTATCTCTTTCGGGAAAGAGACCAATTGCTATCATACCCCAGAGTCCTCCCACACCGTGAACTGCAAACGTGTTTGTAGGATCGTCTACGTGTAACCAATCTAGAAGAGGAACCACCAAAACAATAATTAATCCTGCAATCATTCCGATAACGATTGCTTGCCATGGACGTACTATTGGTGCTCCTCCTGTAAATAAGTAAATATATATATATTTACAAAGTTGAATTTATTAATTAGTAATCTTTACAATCATTTTTTCAATCTTGTTTTGTGATTAAAAAAATATTGTTTACCTGAAATGGCTACCATTGATCCCATAACAGAATCCATAAGAATGCTCACGTCATGAAGACCTTTCTTAGTAAAGAAACTAAAATATAAAATTTCGATAATTTTAGAATTAATGTTATAAGTACTAATATTATAAAAATGAGTTTCATTACCTGAAGCACATGCCGACCATTCCTCCTCCTGTCGATGCTAAAATAGTTGTTACGGCTGCTCTAAAATGGTTATTTAATTAAATATTTTTATAAATCTGACATCAAATGATAGCTATACTCACCTGGAAGAATATTTCCATTTATTTTCCATGATACCAAACGTGCTTCCAGAATTAAATCCTAACCAACCCCACCTGAAAAATGATCTCGAGCTTAAAATTCAAATAATTTCAATATGAACTAGCATATTAATTAAACACGACTTAACCATAGCATGAACAGCCCTAAGAGTGCATTAGTAGGATTTCCAAGAGGAAGAGGTTCGAATCCTTGATCATATCTTCCTACTCTGGGTCCTAAAATAATGGCAGCAACTAAACCCGAACACCCTCCTACTAAATGTACTATTCCCGATCCTCCAATATCCACGGCACCCAGAACAGCCAGAAAACCATCCTCTCTCCACATCCAACCCGCGGGTATACAGTAGATAAAGATATTTAAAAAAGAAACTAGACAATATGCGGTAAATTTACATCTTTCAGCCATGGATCCAGACACTAGAGTAGTAGAAGTAGTGCAGTAACCGAGCTATACGTAAAGACGATAATGTCAAAAATTTATACACCTTTATTGAGAGTCTATAACTTGTACAGTACAGTACTTACGTGAAAGACAAACTTTGAATATAAAACGCCCATATCCTGAAGTGAAGCTTGAGTAAAGAAGCGACCTGTAGCAAACCAAATAGTTTTGAGGCCATCCCCGAAACTTAAAGAAAATCCAAAAATCCAATAAGCGAAACCACCAATTAGCAAATTGGTTGCATTTTTTATTAATATATTAACTTCGTTCTTTCGGGATACGATACCAGATTCTAAAAGAGCGTAACCTGAAAATACATAAGATAAGATATTTTTTGAACTTCATATATTATTTATAAAACCCTATCAAAAGTTATATCTAAGTACAGGTGATTACAATAATGCCTATTTATTATGTATTAGTTTCGATTATATGTAACAAATGTCAATACTTATAACCTACAAGTTTGAAAGATGCTATCTTTAATAAAACACATATAAACATTTATTTTTCTAATCGAAGAAATTTAACGCTGTATGCGAAATTAATATAAAAGCTGACCTGGTTTGTAGCATGGATTCTTTACAATTAGCTTAACTCTATGGCTTTGTTATGTAAGTAAGAATTGAGGATTGGTTTGAGCATATGATTATGACTAAAATTAAATATTTGGTGTTTAAAAATTTTGATTTTTGAATAGAATAATTGTTAAAAGATTACCTGATTGCATGGTGAATATGAGAAAAGCGCTGGTCAAGATGAAAACAACATCATTAGCATCGTTTCTCTCATTGTGAGAGTATATAGGAACGAATGTCGTATTACTGTCGTTCATGTTTGTCGTTTGTTCATGAGTTTAGCCTGAAACAAAATATCGAACCAGTTGACTAACATCTGCCTTATCCATCGATATTGTATATGTAAAGTTTGCTTTAGATATTTTTATTACTAGTTTGAGCATTATATGTAAGCATTGTATACTTCCTCTTATAGAAATCGCCCTAATTAATAGATAAAAATTTATTCTGAATATTTATTGAAAAATATACTTTTTAGGTTCTTTCATATGAATTATTGTTTTGCTTGCTTTTTTTTAAAAAAAATACATTAAATTATAAAAAAAGCCTTTGAGAATTAAAGTGAAATCGTAGTGAAATTGCTTTCAATACTTGTTTTTTTATGTAAAATTTGAACGATTTGAAGCAAAAATACTCTGAAAATGATCATGCGAGGAAAAATTACAATCTATTTTCATAAGTTGCTTTTTGATATATCAATCATTATTTATCAAATGCATGATCTAGAATTTTTTTCAGGATTCTAGAGATTAATAAGCTTAAAAAATAGCAATTAAAAATAACTTAGTAGTTATAAAAAATATAAAAATGGTACTTTATGATAACTTCATTTATGATAATGTAAAGCATAATATAAATTAATTTTAAATTTAAAAGAGTTATTCTTAAAACTTAGCATTAAATACAATAATGCAAATAAAAAGACACAGAAGAATTTGCATAAAATTAAGAAAAATTTAAGGGTTTGAATGATAAATTTAACTTTACTTTACCATGGTATACATTTATCCAGGGATTAAGACAAGAATGAAATGATTTATTTGAAGATGATATAAGACAATTTAACAATGCCTAAGCCATACATCACGTTATTGAGGCTACACTAACACTTTTATTGATTGATTAGCCATTAAAGCGTGTCATATGACAGAATGTAAGCAGCTGATAATGATAAAAATCCCGAATTATTCGTACTCTTTCGTCACTCTAATCGATCGACAACATTTAAAAATTATTTATAAAATGGCATTTAATAAAATTTGAAGTTTGTGCGAGTGGCAATGTTTTCAGTTTTAGTTTCTTCGAGACAGAAAATAGCTCAACTAAATTAACCATAAACATAATTTTGTAAAAAAAAATTTAAAATTAAAGTCTCTTTTACTATATTGTAGGGTATGTTTAATGTATATAAAATTATTTTAGTATAACTAACGAAGTATTGATGATTGAATATATATGCTAATCGCGTAACAATTGCCTACAATATAAATAAAACTAACTCGAGATTTAAAATATTTCAGTAATAATATTCCAAAAAAAAAATTTTAATTTATTACAACACTGATATATTTTGTTCTATTCATTTTTATTTGTTTGAGCAAATATTTAATTAACTTTATAAAGTTTGGCTATGCCAAAAGACAAAAAGGTATACAAGTGAATTGCGTACAGTCGACCCCCCATAACACTTGATAATTCCGTTTTATATGAATTCCATGTTGTACGAGTCACTTAGATTTTACAAATACGTGTGCCGGGCTGTGAACGGCTCACGTATTTGTAAAATATAAGTGACTCGTACAATATGGAATTCATATAAAACGGAATTATCAAGTGTTATAGGGGGGTCGACTGTATTTTATTTAAACTATTCAACATTATTATCATTCAACGTGGGTTCGATAACATACGTTTTATATACTGTATTATCGTTCTTATTTAGAATGTTACTCGTTACAGGAATACTTGTGTTTAAATTAATATATTTTCGTATCCATTCTTCTTCTCCAAATGAAATATTTTCAATAAAATATGAAATTGATTCCATAAAATATGAAAAATTCTTTTCAATAAAATATGAAAAATTCTTAACATTTATACAAAGGAAATTTCTGGTGCAGAAAGTTACAATTTACATCGAAATTAAATATATTTATTCCGGTTCATGATTCTCTATTTGCTTTATAACTAATTATTTGCATGAAAGTAATCCTTATTTGAAAAGTGAATAGTTACTGTTTTGATCGATAGTATGAGAAGACCGAAATAAGCAATCCTTGTTCGAATTATGTTTGTAGATAAAATATTCGTTAAATGTATACCTAAACAATTTGAAAATAGATGTTAGATATAGATTTTTTTTTCTAAATTTTTGTGATAAAATTATTTTATATAAAAGATTTGTTTGCCTGTAAAAGTGTATTTCCTTCCAAAAGCTACACAGAGAAGTCAACGATATAAAGCTACATGTGTTTTTATTACATTTACAAATTTTCAAATAAAATTTTTATTAATAATGGGCTTAAATTATTTTCCTTTAGATGATTCAACGAATTTATTGATGATTTACATTAAAGAGTTGAGAAATAAACCAATTTTTAATCAATCTGCTTCCTTTTTAAAAAATTAATTTTATTCGGTCTTGACCGAAAAATGCAATTTTATAAAGACACAATTAAAAGGTAGTGATGAAAGGGCTCTTTTCAAGTATAGCTTATTCCTATTTTATGGTTTAAATAATGCAAAAATGACATCTTTGTTTGAATGATGTATTATTCTAGTCAAAATAATACGTCATTTAAATAATTTTAAATTGAAATCGCATTTTTTTGGAAATGAAATCTTAAGAAACAAATCTCTTATCTGCCATTCGTGAACAAAGCTTAGATACAAAAAACCCGAGAAGTCTCTTTCTGATTTAACAGATTGATCTAAAAGTAGGTAACACATTTTGTAAAAGCCGTAAATTATTACTTTTTTAAGGTGGATTCAAAGTATTTAAATTCATTGTTGACATTAAAATATCTGGAATTTTTCAAAAGCAACATTTCTAATTTATTTATTTCGCTCAAATATTCTCGTATTATGTCAGCTTTGTTGTTTCAGCAATACTAACTGTACTTTGCACTTCTGACTGCATTATCATCTACATAGTTGGTTTGACATTTACTAAGAAAAAGCCTAAGAAATGTATGTTCTGCGATTTTCTTTATTGCTTGTCTGAATAATAAAAGAAATTAATAAGACGATTCATCTTAACATCTTCTGGATTGGTTAGATATCGCAACAATGAAACTAGTTCCTTTTGTCATCCTTCTGCGTTTGATAAGGCATTCTTTGAGATTAACAACTATAAAAATCTAAAAGTATATACAAATTTAAATTAGTTGTAAAAATAATTTAGCATTTTGAAGAAAACGTTTAACTTATACATCCTCTGATGCCAATTTAAATTACAGTTAATCGTAATGGTAAAAGGAGAGGGAGTACAAAATTGTAAATTGAAATCAAAATATATTTATAAATCATTTTAATAAATAATTAANGAATTTATATAAAACGGAATTATCAACAGTGTTATGGGGGATCGACTGTATATTCATCTATCGCGATTCATCAATTTATTTGAATTAACAAATATTATATATTAGAATGAGTCTACATCTCATTTTAAACAAGTATATTATAACAAGTATCATTTTATCGTAAACAAATCACGTCATATGCATTGTCATTTGTGATGTCATAAAAGCGGTTTGCACGTATTATTTTGTGTGACATCATATAAATCATGTGAACTATACACACGCAAAGACACACAATATATTTAATATAAAATCGATGGTAAATTTTCATATTTAAATTTAAAACTAAGATTTAATTGACGTTTACAAAAAATATTTATACTTTAAAAATCTTAACATAATATTTATCGATGTCAACAGAAAATTCTTATACGAAAGAAAATGAATAGCAAAAGAATGAAAGTGTTATCTGTTACAGGAACCAAGATAGTCAAGTGTAAAAAATGCATTTCGTGTTGACATTGTCTTGTAGTGAAGCCGACTACTTGTAAATAATCGATTATTTACAACTAATCGATTACATTACAGAGAGTAAAAATATAAAATATAATTCATTGTGTATTTTATTGTAGAGTCTAGTAAAGGTTTACTGAAATCTTTCGCAGCAATCCTTTGTTTAGCGATATACCTCAATTGTTCATTACATTATTGTACAGAAAAATGTAAATAAATCTATCTATTTAAGTCCTGATTCTGTGTATGTGTGTGTGTAAGAATAACCATCCAATAATTATAAAACGAAACTATTAGCCTTTAAAAAAATTGAAAATATTGCATTAACATACGAGTTACTTAAAATAGACAAATGCCTAATTTAATTACTACTAATTGTATCCTTCTTCGCATAAAGTTTCAGTCAAAAAACAGACAATCTCAATCCAAACTGAAAATTTCAAGTATAAAAACACCCTTTATCATAAAGCTTTTTCAAGTGAAATTCCAGAATAAATAAACAAAAACTTATGAGCATAAAAAATTTTAAATACATTCGAAGAAATCAAAAAAACGGTACAAGAAAAATAAAAATAAATAAAGAGCAAGCTAATTTATTAATTAGCTATAATAATAGTCAAAAAATAATATATCTAATAATTTTTAAAATGTATTTTCTGTTTTAGCCTATGCAGAATCGTTTCTGTGAGTAACAAGGTAAACCTGTTTGCTTGCATTGTTCTATACGATTACTTATGTTATAACTTTACGTTATAAAATTATAATGCAAATTATGTCTCGAATTATCTATATTATCACAGAAATAAGAAATTTAATTTTTTAAATGGCAATGGAGCATTTTGCAACAATTAATGCTATTTGTATACTAAACTTATTTCACTCAGAGTGAGCATTAACTGGGAATTAAGGAAGAATGTATTCGGAATCCTTCTCAAAAGTATAGTTTGATTTGAAGACTTCTATTAGACCATGCATTATCATTTCGTATATAACGTTGAAGTTTCGATATCATTCTCATATTAACTGTGAAGTAATTATTTAGGAATACTGTACTTATTGATTTACAACCGATATATATATTCAATTATCTGTAAAATATTATGAGAGTTTTCTCTTAAGGAACATGTAAAGAACTTATCGGAACGAACAATCATTTACGTCTTTATAATCTTCTCAATTCTTTAGTCTTTAAAGTACGAAGCCCTTACGGTCCTATAAATATTGGCGAAATAATCATTTTAATTTCTTGACTTTAAGCTAATGTAAAAAGAAAAATTAAAACGATATGTTACTTATAAAATTCTATAAACAGCGTTTTTTGTATGCTACATATTTAAATATAGGTTTTATTCATTTTTTAGTTTATTTTGGTTCATTTAAAATACGAAATGTGGTTTCATATTTTAAATAAACCAAATGCAATTATGAAATATAGAAATATTTAAAAATTTCACATAACATGGAGACAAATAAAGATTTATTATGATTAAAATAATATGAACATTATGAAATATGCTTAAAAATAAAAAAAACTTATTTTTATAATGTTTAAAAGTACATTTTTTTCGTATAAAATTAATAATTTTAAACTTGAAATTGTTGCGTAGAAACAAAATTCGAAGTTTTCATTCCGCCGAATCCTCGACGAATCTAGAAATAAATAATTTATTTTCAGTTTTCGTTAAATTAAAAGTAGCATTTTTAAATGTTACAGATTATATTAATTAATATATTATTTTTAATAAGATTTTTTTTGTATACTCAATGCTATACAGTCGACCCCCCATAACACTGTTGATAATTCCGTTTTATATGAATTCCATGTTGTACGAGTCACTTAAATTTTACAAATACGTGTGCCGGGCTGTGAATGGCTCACGTATTTGTAAAATTTAAGTGACTCGTACAACATGGAATTCATATAAAACGGAATTATCAACAGTGTTATGGGGGGTCGACTGTATAGCATTGAGTATACAAAAAAAATCTTATTAAAAATAATATATTAATTAATATAATCTGTAACATTTAAAAATGCTACTTTTAATTTAACGAAAACTGAAAATAAATTATTTATTTCTAGATTCGTCGAGGATTCGGCGGAATGAAAACTTCGAATTTTGTTTCTACGCAACAATTTCAAGTTTAAAATTATTAATTTTATACGAAAAAAATGTACTTTTAAACATTATAAAAATAATTTTTTTTTATTTTTAAGCATATTTCATAATGTTCATATTATTTTAATCATAATAAATCTTTATTTGTCTCCATGTTATGTGAAATTTTTAAATATTTCT